TTTACAAAAGGAATATGCTCAGACAGTACTGCATGACTTTCCTAATATATTTTGATTTACCTTTTCACAGATGATCAATTGAGTAATTATTTTATAAAGAACTTGGATTACTGTCCAGCTGCCAGCACATCACCAAAATGAGAGCTTGTAATTCTCCCCATGTGAAGCACTAGACACAGATTACTCTATCTCTTTGTCATTGTGTATTACGTTCTACATATATCTGCAGTCTTTGTTAACACAACAGGAATTGCTGTAAACAAATATAGTTTTAAAAATTTGACACAACAAAATAGACAACAGCATGTCAAAAGAACATGTTAAACGAAGGTAGCAAATGATGTAATATTAGACTTGTACCTCATTTTTTTTACATCTAACTCGGATATTTTCAGGTTATCATTGTTCATCCTGCAGATTCATTGATATTCAAATTAATGTATATCACATGCTCCTCCGATGTAATTCAACATATTTTGTCATACATTTAGTACAAAAGACAATAAAAGATCATGTGAACATAACTTTTACAGAAGTGTACATATTTATTTAACTATTGTTATTTCATCTTGTTGTCATCTTCTTTATTGTTATTTATCATTACGAATTTTAGAAAACACTCATCTGATTGTGATCTCCCTTATTGTAATCTATCATTATGAATTTTAGATAACACTAATCTGATTGCGATCTCCCTTATTGTCTTTCATTATTATTGATATTAGAAAACACTCATCTGATTGCGATCTCCCTTATTGTTATCTATCATTATGAATTTTAGAAAACACTCATCTGATTGTGATCTCCCTTATTGTAATCTATCATTATGAATTTTAGATAACACTCATCTGATTGTGATCTCCCTTATTGTTATCTATCATTATGAATTTTAGAAAACACTCATCTGATTGTGATCTCCCTTATTGTAATCTATCATTATGAATTTTAGATAACACTAATCTGATTGCGATCTCCCTTATTGTCTTTCATTATTATTGATATTAGAAAACACTCATCTGATTGCGATCTCCCTTATTGTTATTTATTATTATTGATATTAGATAACACTCATCTGATTGCGATCTCCCTTATTGTCTTTCATTATTATTGATATTAGATAACACTAATCTGATTGCGATCTCCCTTATTGTTATTTATTATTATTGATATTAGATAACACTAATCTGATTGCGATCTCCCTTATTGTCTTTCATTATTATTGATATTAGAAAACACTCATCTGATTGCGATCTCCCTTATTGTTATTTATTATTATTGATATTAGATAACACTCATCTGATTGCGATCTCCCTTATTGTCTTTCATTATTATTGATATTAGATAACACTCATCTGATTGCGATCTCCCTTATTGTCTTTCATTATTATTGATATTAGATAACACTCATCTGATTGCGATCTCCCTTATTGTTATTTATTATTATTGATATTAGATAACACTAATCTGATTGTGATCTCCCTTATTGTTATTTATTATTATTGATATTAGATAACACTAATCTGATTGTGATCTCCCTTATTGTCTTTCATTATTATTGATATTAGATTACACTCCTCTGATTGCGATCTCCCTTATTGTTATTTATTATTATTGATATTAGATAACACTCATCTGATTGCGATCTCCCTTATTGTCTTTCATTATTATTGATATTAGATAACACTCATCTGATTGCGATCTCCCTTATTGTTATTTATTATTATTGATATTAGATAACACTCCTCTGATTGCGATCTCCCTTATTGTCTTTCATTATTATTGATATTAGATAACACTAATCTGATTGCGATCTCCCTTATTGTCTTTCATTATTATTGATATTAGATAACACTCATCTGATTGCGATCTCCCTTATTGTCTTTCATTATTATTGATATTAGATTACACTCCTCTGATTGCGATCTCCCTTATTGTCTTTCATTATTATTGATATTAGATAACACTAATCTGATTGCGATCTCCCTTATTGTTATTTATTATTATTGATATTAGATTACACTCCTCTGATTGCGATCTCCCTTATTGTTATTTATTATTATTGATATTAGATAACACTCATCTGATTGCGATCTCCCTTATTGTCTTTCATTATTATTGATATTAGATAACACTCCTCTGATTGCGATCTCCCTTATTGTCTTTCATTATTATTGATATTAGATAACACTCATCTGATTGCGATCTCCCTTATTGTTATTTATTATTATTGATATTAGATAACACTCCTCTGATTGCGATCTCCCTTATTGTCTTTCATTATTATTGATATTAGATAACACTCCTCTGATTGCGATCTCCCTTATTGTTATTTATTATTATTGATATTAGATAACACTAATCTGATTGCGATCTCCCTTATTGTCTTTCATTATTATTGATATTAGATAACACTCATCTGATTGCGATCTCCCTTATTGTTATTTATTATTATTGATATTAGATAACACTAATCTGATTGTGATCTCCCTTATTGTCTTTCATTATTATTGATATTAGATTACACTCCTCTGATTGCGATCTCCCTTATTGTTATTTATTATTATTGATATTAGATAACACTAATCTGATTGTGATCTCCCTTATTGTCTTTCATTATTATTGATATTAGATAACACTCATCTGATTGCGATCTCCCTTATTGTTATTTATTATTATTGATATTAGATAACACTCCTCTGATTGCGATCTCCCTTATTGTTATCTATCATTATGAATTTTAGATAACACTAATCTGATTGTGATCTCCCTTATTGTCTTTCATTATTATTGATATTAGATTACACTCCTCTGATTGCGATCTCCCTTATTGTTATCTATCATTATGAATTTTAGATAACACTCATCTGATTGTGATCTCCCTTATTGTCTTTCATTATTATTGATATATATTTTTTCATATTCTTTAGATCTTATTGATATGTAATAAAGTTAAAACTTTAATAAATTATTTTAACTCTGACCTTGTCTGTGATTTTTAATACTCGATGACAGGAGGAAATATCTAGTGTGTACATATACAATGTCCCTGATTTTGTTTGTACCTGTATTTGATAAGATAGAATGCATCTCCCTTATCTTTTCTGCATAAAAAGCAGGCTCCAAGGCTCTATCTCTTACATGCCATGGGTCATACTCTTTCCTTGAAGCTTGATCAGGTTTAAGTTTGGGCTTAATGTGAGCTTTTTTAAGGAACGAGGCTCCATGGTCATCTTACTTGACATAATCTATCTGGATAACTTTAATGTACAAGCAAGATCAATTACAACATGGCTATATCTCTGTGTTACTGATTTAATACAAACAAAAGTCCACTAATATGGCTACAGCATTGTACAAGTCTTTGAATGAAAAGAATTATTCCATTTTTTTTTTACTGCACTTTGGTTTAAAAAGTAAAAATCCTGTGCAAGTGTAGGCCTTTGCCCTTCAATTATGAGGTTGTGTATATCGTTAAAATGTATATACAGAGGTATTACTAAAAACATTACTGTATAAACGACGTCATATGGTGGAAGATTATGGTTACTGATAGACGGTTTTAGAAGATTATAGAATTCAATGAAAGTGGTGGTATTGCATAGGTTGAAACTTAATGCTACCCCATCTAGGTCGCTATTAACAAACCTGTTGCAACCCCTAGCCTGATATGCACATGAGTTAAAATTATCCTGGAAAGGTCTATTTGGCTGTTGATAGCCATCTTCTATAAACATGTTTGATTGTTTTGCATGTGATTGATAAAATCATCATATTTTAAGTAACAAATATATATATATCATCAATATGTTTAGCCTTTCAGTAATTTCAGTACTTTCATTATTGTTTGTTAATTTTTTTTTTTAATTTTCTTGGTAAACTTCTTTGTTATAATACAAATTATTTAAATAAAGTTAGGTTTTCCATTTCTCGGTCAACAATTTGCTAGTTAATTCAAATCAGATATGATTCATCAAACGTGATAGAGAAGGTGCATAATTCTTGATCTGTAAAAAATGTGCTTGGAGTTAAAAAGACGATGAATACTTCTCTGACTACTCTGAGCTGGGTCACTTTCCTTTACTGATTAGTCGTAAGTTTGCTGTTATCAAATATAGGCTTACCTACTGATAGTTGTGGTTTAAAAATCATAGTAATAATGAACTTGTGGAGCTTAATTTAAACAAACCTACGGTAGTTGTAACATGAATTTTATGTATCATGCGAAGCAGGAGCTAAGTAGTTCAGAGTTTTCTGATGCGTGCTTGTCTTAAGTATAACTCTAATGAGAACTGTTCTTTATGTATCCAACGGGCACATGAGGTTTTTATCCCAGAGATGAGAAACAGTTTTGAAAACCCGTCTAAGTGTATGCCATATAAAGACATTGTTGATAGATTTGAATTGCAGTTTTATCTTATTAAGTATTTGACTATCAATTTTTTTTAAAATGTTGTCACTAAGTTTAGGACACAAGTACATAATTCAAGTGTGTTGACACTGGTAGATACCAAGGTATACATAGAAATCAATTTTTTTTTATGTAATAGAAGAGACGTTGAAGATGAAACTCACTTAATATTATCATGTCTTGCTTACTCGGGATTAAGAATATTTAATTTCATTTATATTATTTGCGAATAAAAATGTAAAAACTTAAAAAAACTTTACTAAATACTTAAATTCATGGTTAGTTGAAAAGAATGTCACTAATAAATGTTTGAAATTTATGTTAGTTTTTATTATACTGTTTCTGTACCTGTGTCAATAATTCAGTTTATCAGTGTGTTGTTTACAATGTATGTATTAGCATGTGTCAGCGCTGCTGCAGTTGTTCTCAGGTAAACATGAATGTTATTTGTAGCTATTTATCTAGTATATGCTATGCTGTATTTCGAAAAAAAATTGAAATTTTGGACTGTTGAATCCCCTGGCCCGCTGACATTACCTGTTACACTCTTGGTGATGAAATTGGTTAAAATTATTTCTTGATTTAATTTCAGTGAGAGATCTGGCAAGTATTCAGGAGGTGCCCATCAAGGAAGTAAGTGTTATTTGTACAATTCATTAGTAAATCAATGTATATAGATAAGTTCAATTATAGAGGAAGGCCACCAGGTAAAGATGTATTGTAGTTTTATTACTCTAATTTATGTACCATTCATGAATAGAATATAGGACAATCACATATAATTTACACATGATTGCTGGAAATTAGGTAAAATTGTACTCTGGAAGTAGAATGAATCAAAGTTTTCCCTAGAGATATGTCAGTCAAATATGTGAGTTAAAGGCATATCTCTGAAAAAATGTGAAAATATACTCTGATAGTGTGTCAGTAGGTCAGTAAAAAGCATACTTTAGAAATAGGTCGGTCAAAAGTATATTGTAGAAATAGATCAGTTGAATGCAAAATGTAGAAAAATGTCTGAAATCATGTTCTCAAAATAGGTCAGTCAAATGCATACTCTTGAAATAGATAATTTCAAAGTAAATTCTAGAAGTACATTGTAAGTCAATCAAAAACATCCTCTAGAAGTAGGTCAGTGTGAAATATATTCTAGAAATTCAAAAGCATACTCTAGAATAAGGTCAGTCAAAAGTGTATTCTAAAAAGTGGCAAATCAAATTTAGTCTCTAGAAATAAAGCATATTTAGACTCTAGAAATAGGGCGTATTTAGACTCTAGAAATAGGGCGTATTTAGACTCTAGAAATAGGGCATATTTAGACTCTAGAAATAGGGCGTATTTAGACTCTAGAAATAGGGTGTATTAAACTCTAGAAATAAGGCGTATAGGGCTATACAAAGAATAAATCCTGTACTTTCATTATCACAGTTACTATCATGCAGTTCTTTAATTACTGTATACAAACTTTGTTTATTGTTTTTCAAACCAGCATTTCTCTGGTTCCTTCTAGTTATCGAAAAATATTGTATGAATAGCATTTTTCATCATACTTCACATCTTTGTCAGTTACAATCAATAAGTTGTTAGTTTCAGTCATGAATGTCCTGTTTATGTAGGTAAACAGTGTATACAATTTTTTGTGATTTTTTGTGTTGTAAAGAAGGTCATTGCCATGCCAATAAGACCAGGGCTGGCCTGGACAAAACAGCTAGACGTAAACTGTTAATAGCAAGTGTTCTGTGTCTGTGTTTCATGACTGGTGAATTTGTTGGTAAGTAGAACTTTAATTTCTAACACACATAGCTAAGTTTTAAATTTGTTTGTCAATTCTTATTGATGGATTTTTGCTTCTATACCTCATCTCAAAGGAGCATTTTGTTATGTTGGGATGTCCTTTGTAATCCTTGGAAATAAATAAAAAATATTTAGATCTTGACATGGTGAAGTGATTTCCCTTTTTTATGCTCCTCGAAATTTTGAGGGGGAGCACATAGTCGTCTCCTTTTCCATCCTTCTGTCCATCCGTCCTTTCATATCTGGAGCATAACTTTGCCCTCACTTAAACAAGGATCATGAAACTTTGTGTATACATTGGTCATACTAAGGGGACATGCAGGACACTTGACCCTTCAATTATAGAGGTACTGCCATTTATTATTATTTTGTGTGCAGAGCATAACTTTACCTGTTTTGAAACTAAGATAATGAAACTTGGTGTCTACATTAATCATAATAAGACCATGAGCAGTGTACCAAATTCAGAACCCTTGACCCCTCAATTTTGTAGCTAGAGCACAACTTATAATTGCTTACATTCAAACTAGAATAATGAAATTTGGTGGATACATTGATCATACTAAGACAATGCAAATGAACCAAACTCAGGACTCTTGATTCCTTAAATACAGAGTGTTTGCCCTTTGTTGAAAGTTTTTTCGTCAAGAGCATAAATTTTCCCACAGTTCAGCAAGGAACATGAAGCTTAGTGTATACATTAATCATACTAAGACAGTGTGCTGAGTACCAAATTACAGAGTTATTGCCCTTTGTTAAAATTTTGTGTCGGGAGCATTACTGTTCCTGCATTTAAACTAGATAATTGAAAGGTGACGTATACATTAGTCACACAAAAGCAAAGTCAGGGCCCATAACCCCTCAGTACTGAGCTATTGCTCTTTGATAAATGTTTGTATCATGACCATATCTTTGCTTGCATTAGATCTAGGATTATGAAACTTGGTGTTTATATTAGTTATATTAAGAGAATTGGCAGTAACCCAGATTCAGGGCCTGCAACCCCTCAATCACAGAATTATTGCTCTTTGTTAAAATTTTGTGTCCAATTAAGTTTGTCGTGGATAGCATTCATCATTGTCACTAACACTCTTGTTCTGAATAGGTGGGATCCTTGCTCACAGTCTGGCTATCATATCTGATGCTGCACACATGCTCACTGACTTGGCCAGTTTCCTAATCAGCCTGTTTGCCCTTTTTCTTGCCTCAAGACCTGCTACAAAAAAACTAAGCTTTGGCTGGTATAGGGCTGGTATGTGTTATATCTACTCAGGGTTTTCCATAAGAGCCGGTCGCCGGCCAATTTGACCGGCTACTTTGATCATACAGCCGCCTACACCAATCCAGTTCCGTAATAATGATCCGTACACGACTACACGTACACGGCAGGCCAGCCTCCTACTTTCACTACACAGCCTACTACTAACAAAATTATGGAAAATTCTGATGTACTTCAAAAATTACAAACAATACAAAAACCTGTTAAGTTAACAAAATTTTGATATAGGTAAACTACTGTATTGTTGTTCAAGAGACTGAATTATGTATTGTTGGCAGTAGTTGTGGGGGATTTACTTTGGTTTTATACATAGTCCTCAAATATGGCATGAAATTAAATTCTAAGCAAACTTTTAACGGCAATTTAGATGAAAGGAAATCTGTGCTTTTATACACGAATACCAATGTATAGACATACAAGTATGTACATGTTTGCAAAATTTATAACCCTTGAACGAATCCAAACTGAAACAAATGAGGAATATTAGCACCATAAAATTTAACATCTGCAGTTTTGGCTCTAATAGTGCAATTTTTGTGAGAAGGTTCAACTCATTTGCTTTTTGTTTGATTAATTTAATGTACTTCCATCTAACGTTTGTCAATACAATGTATGTCTGTTTGATTTGTGATGAAACTTCAATCAAGTTTACCTGGTGATGATTGGGATTATCCATTTTTTGTCAAATGTTATGAAATCTGTATTTTGACGACAGTAGAAGAACAATAGTTGTAAAGAAATGATATCATGTGTTCAGTTTTCATACTCACATAATTTTTTACCGTAAAATAATTTGTGGAAATATAAATTTTATTGCTCCTTGATAAATATAAAACATTAAAAATTATTTTTCATACACAAATCACAGTTGTAGTGTATGCATATTAAAAATTTACAGATGATAAAAAAGTAATGTTTTGTCTTGCTTTAATGCATGAATTGCCAATTATAAGTAGTTACTATAGTTACAAAATAAATAAGTTTGTGCACAAAATTTGTTATATACTGAAATCTTTATTTTGTAGTATCTTTAATGTGTATCATCAAATATTTTGACATCACAGTTGTTGTAAGAATACTTTTGTATTACAGAGATTCTGGGAGCACTGATGTCAATTGTGATGCTGTGGGTGTTAACTGGAATTCTGGTATACATGGGTGTAGTGAGGATTACAAGCGGTGACTTTGAGTTAAATCCTGTGATTATGTTAATCACAGCATCACTTGGTGTGTGCATAAATATCCTGTAAGTGGCTTTATGTTAATCAGAGCATCACTTAGTGTGTATAAGAGAGATGAAAAATTTCCACAGATCGGCAGATTTCCGCCTTTTCCATGGCAAATTTGGTCATTTTTCAGATCGATGCAAATCCGATGAGAAAATTTCAGGGGTGGGGGGTTAGGTATGTCTTGATGATGAATTTTATTTTTAAGCAATCTTCATCAACTGCGTTCTTAAATCTTTCGATTTATATGCCCTTATATACTGTAAAATTAAACATCGAGCAGTTACGAGCATTGAGTTTCTGGTATTGTCAAATCGATAATACGAAGGAACATAACTCTTACATCAGTCGAACATTTGAAAGCTATAGCTGAATTACAACAGAGATGAAAAATTTCTGCCGATCGGCGGATTTCTGCCTTTTCCAATGCCAGCCACTTTCATCTCTTCTATAAAAACATCCTGTAAGTGACCTTATGTTAATCACAGCATTACTTGGTGTGTATGTAAACATCCTGTAAATGGTCTTATGTTAATCACAGCCAGTTGTCTCTGCTTCCTTGAATAACCTTCATAGACAGGTTTGGCTTAATTGAAGTTTTTTAATGGTTCTTTTGATATTCCATGAACCAACCTGTTCTTTTGTTTAGAATGGGCTTAACATTACACCAGAATGGTCACACACATGGAGGAGGAGCAGGGGGAGGTCACTCTCACAGCAGCAGTAATGCGGAAAGTTTGATCAATTCAAGTATTGAAGACAGAATTTCTCAATATGGTTCGGTCTCAGATGTTGAACAAAACGACAAGGAGAAGCCACTGAAACATTCTTCAAACAACATCAACGTTAAAGCAGCCTTTGTCCATGTTTTAGGAGATTTACTACAAAGTATAGGTGTACTTGTAGCAGCTATCATGATATACATTAAGGTAAATGGTTTATCTCATTACTATGTTTATACAGAAATAAACACATGTTGTTCTGGTGGCACAGTGGTAATGCACTCGCCTTTCACCTAGCCGACCAGGGTTTGATTCCCAGAATGGGCGTGAAAAGGTAAGGGGTCACCTGCCCGACCATGTGGGTTTTCCACTCGTACTCCGGTTTCCTCCCACAATAAGACCCCTCTTGCACTTACATCCAGGCCAACAAGAGTGATTAGTATAAGTTGACATAACTTGTTTTGCAATTGTTGTAAAATAAATAAAGTTAATATATATATTTTTTTAAAATAAATACATGTAAGGTTTAAGCCTATACCTATCTATGGTTATTCAGTAGAATTACTGGCAAATGTTTACTGTCAGCACTTAAGCAGCTTCACTTCAAGAGGTTAAACTTAAAATACTGGTGAAGAATCACTATACCTAATTAGAAATTCTTTTTCATCAAATCATCATACAGGACCATTACATCAGGGGTCAAGGTCAGTGTCAAGGTCAATTGATATCTAGAAAATCCTCTAGCTGCTTTATTTCTTAAAGGATTCCAAATCTTTTCACACTCCTTATGGACCTTTATATCTCACGGAGATTTATATCAGGGTTCTAGTGTAAAGGTCATAGTCACTGTTACTATTTTAAGTTATCTATTCTGTGTCACCTAGTAAAATTTTTATTGCTATTCATTGAGAAGCATGCAATAGATCGCTCTCAAATTTCTAATGTAGATTCCCCTCAGTCACTAGTTGTTTCCGTTAGATTTTGTGATTGATTAGAAAAAAAAAGGGCTGACAGGCGGCCATCTTGGATTTTGACTTTGAAATTTGTTATTCCTTGAGAACTACATCATAGATCTTTCTCAAATATTCAAGTATAGATTCACCTTGATCCCTAGTTATGTCTGTATGATTTTGAGTTTGTTTTAAAACAAAATGGTGACAGACAGCTTTTTTTTGGATTATGACTTTGAAAGCTTGTTATCACTATTTCTTGAAAACGACTGCATAGATCTTTCTTACATTTGATATGCAGATTCCTCTTGGCCTCTAACTGTACCCATTTGGTTTTAGGACTGATCAGAAAAAACAAAATGGTGACCATTTTGGATTATGCAGTTAAAGATTATTATTGCTATTTCTGCAAAGGATTGAAAGTCAAATTTCTTATTATTAAGAGCAAAACAGAGAAGAGAAGCGACAAGAAGGGAAAATATCCAACTTTCGGAGAACAAATAAAGATCAAACAATGGTCGGCGCCAAGATTCCTTGGGGATCTCTTATTACAACAGTGTTTGCATGAATTGTCATAGTTTTGTTTTTCTCACATAAGTTTTATCTATTTTTGTAATGTAACGACTCTTGATCTGCCAGATTTGGGGCCGAATTCCCAATGCAAAATAGTATCTTTTTTTCCCAATTTAGACCCCAAGTTTTCCCAATTCTAAGGAAAACGCCGCTGATTTTCCCAATTCTAAGGGCCCCGGGCCTCGGGCCCCAGTCCCAAAATGGAGTGTGAGAGCCCTGATCAGTAACTAGATAGTCCATATTAATCCTACCTCAGATATTTGGTCATCTTCATTGTACTTAAATCAAGGTGGAACTGTGAAGGAATTTGTATCATGAGCATTGCCTCGTTTCATTGTCTTGTAATAACTCGAGACTTTGAGTCACAGGTAATGTGTTGGTTCTCTTGGGATAATTGCTGGATAAGATTTTGCTGTTTAGTTGTTCATAGAAACATAAAAATTGGCTAAGGCAGTGATAAAGTTCCTATTAAATATCATTTATTGAATACCATTTTCTTCTTTATTGTGGCCTAAGTTATAGAAACATGTAGTGGTATAATAGACTTACTGTAAGTGTTATTGTAACCTCTGGAATGCTCACTGTATAATTTCAGGGTTGTTCCGTCTTGAGTTAAGTCAAGAAAATAAAATTTTGCACAACATACCCATAAACAATAAACAGTAGAACTGGTCTGTATGCATTTTCTGAAAGTTTTATTAACTGGAGAAATATTACTTATGAAAATCAAATATTAACTGCATGGACTATTTAATGGAAACAATCGACCATAATACTTGCTGTCTTTGCCCATTAATATGTAGAGGATATCTGATAGTGTCTTTAATATTAACTGCATGGACTATTTAATGGAAACAATCGACCATAATACTTGCTGTCTTTGCCCATTAATATGCAGAGGATATCTGATAGTGTCTTTATTAATAACAAATATATTTCACAAGTGTGACAAATATTTTAGTGCACACTCGTGAAAGATACAAAAAATATTAGACACTCGAGTGAAATATATTTGTTCTGACTGAAGACACTATAAGATATTTTATTTATTTCATTTTCACAAGCAAAATAGTCAAATTACTGGCATGTTTGGAACAAATAGAAAACGAGAAAGCTGACAAGGCTTTTCGCAGACACAACAAACTTTCTCAGTACATAACAAAATATAGTTTATTTTTTAAAAAATCATTAAAAATATGTAAACACAAAAATAAAATTCAGGGTAAATTTATTTTTATATTTACATAGAAAATATTATTTACTCATGTCATTAAGAGAAAACATTTGCTGTAAAATGTCCAAAGAGAGTTTAACCTGTGATAAGTTACTATGCAGGTGCAAATATGGCTACAGCCTATCGTCGTTGATGTTGATGACACTAATCCCATTGAAAGGCCTAACATGTTAGACGTTCGATTTGAAATTGGATTTGGTCACTGATAAGGTAATTTGCATGGTTTGCTGACTTTCATGGAAATGAATGTTTACCATGGAATTGAAGGTCACAAGTAAACAACCCTTTCAGATGTCTGTGTTTTTTGTAGGGGGGTTTATGATTAAGCAATTTCAGATGTTTTGTGTTCTTTCTTTTTATTTGCATAAGTCTGCAAAAGTCGCTTATGAAAAATAACACTTTTATCAAGGAGATATTTCTCAAAATTTCACTAGCAAAAATGTAATAAACATTTTTTTTTTCTGAAATTTTCAGCCTGAGTGGAAGATAGCAGATCCCATATGTACATTTATCTTCTCAGTACTGGTGCTAATGACAACTTTTACTGTAGTTCGGGATTTATTACGGATTCTAATGGAAGGTATGTGATCCAAATTCAGCCATCTTCTGTCATACATCCTCATACAGTCAGCTTTACTGAAATCTAGCTTAACTCTCCTGATAATATTGAGGTAGTCCATCCCTGTAAATTTTATAGGATCAAACTGGATTAAATGATTTTTATTTCAGTAGTAGATATACACCACACTATATACATAAAACACATATGTCATTACATTATGTTTACTACTTGTTCATATATATACATACTTTTGAACTGCTAATCCAGATTATAGCAATTTTCAAGGTATTGTTAATTTTGTTCAATTAATTGCCTTCTAAAGCACATCATCTTAGATATAAACGTATAAAATACAATGTATCATTGAATTGCTTTATCTATTTCAAAATGATCCCAAAACATGTTTTGTTACAAAACAATAATTGTCAATTTTGTTGTAAAATCTGGTCTCATTTCCTAGCAAAAATGCCTTCAAAACCCATGTTTTTCGTTTATTTTTAGCCCCAGTAGATAGATGGAGGGCTATTCAAATTGTCCTACATCCGTGGTCCATCATCAGTTCATCCGTCTGTCCATCCATATATGATAATTGTTATCACTATTGCTGGAGAAGCACTGGATGAATCTTTCTCAAAGGCTATGTAGGTTCCTCTCGGTCCCTAGTTATGCCCTTTTGATTTGGGGAGTAATCAGAAAAACAAAATGGCCGACAGGTGTTAATTACTATTTCTTAGGAAGGATTCAAGGGATTTCTTTCATAATTCATGTGTAGGTTCCCATTGGTCCCTAGTTATGCCTGTTTGATATTGGGACTGATCAGAAAAACAAAATGGCCGACAGGTGTTAATTACTATTTCTTAGGAAGGATTCAAGGGATTTCTTTCATAATTCATGTGTAGGTTCCCATTGGTCCCTAGTTATGCCTGTTTGATATTGGGACTGATCAGAAAAACAAAATGGCCGACAGGTGTTAATTACTATTTCTTAGGAAGGATTCAAGGGATTTCTTTCATAATTCATGTGTAGGTTCCCATTGGTCCCTAGTTATGCCTGTTTGATATTGGGACTGATCAGAAAAACAAAATGACTTCAAGGCAACCATCTTGGATTTTGTAATTAAAGGTTATTGATGCTATTTCTGCAAAGGATGTTCAAATTTCTTATCATTCAGAGCAAAAACAGAAAAGAGAATAGATCAGAATGAAAAACTTCTAAAGAACAAATAAAGATCAAACAATGGTGGGTGCCAAGATCCCTATGTGGTCTCTTTTCCAGCTTTTATGGGATACTTATCCCAGGATGCCGATTAGGCCTGTAGCATACTGGGATGAAGGGTTACCAAGTTTGGTAATATAAATGACTGTGACATGCTTTTAAGGTCACAGGGATCAAATATGTTAAAATGACTTCTTCTAAATAACCAAAAGACCCAGGGTGCTGATATTTGGCCGGTTTCCTGATTTAAGGAAGGATTACCACATTTATTGATATAAATGACCTTGACTAACTTTCAAGGTGATAGGGGTCAGATATGTCAAAATCTTAAAACAACACCTCTTTGATTACCAAAAGGTCCATGGTACTGATTTTGGGCCTTTAGCATGCAGGGATGAAGGGCTACCAACTTTGTTAAAATGAATTACCTTGACCCACTTTCATGGTCACAAGGGTAAAATGTGTTGAAATACTCAAACAACTTTTTTTCAATTACCAAAAGGTCCATGGTGCTAATGTTGGGTCTGTAGCATGTTGGGATGAACGACTACCAAATTCACCTTGACAGACGGTCAAAGTCACAGAGGTCAATGTGTTGAAATGCAAAAGCAATTTCTTCTCAATATCCAAAAGGTCAAGGGTCTTGATTTTGGGCCTGTAGCATGCTTTCCAACAGGCAGTATATCTGGAGTAATGACATTAATGAATATATTGACATTATTAAAGTTGCTTTGTTGACATTTCCTAACATTATCCCTAGGCTTGGTCTTGTATATTAGCAAACACATTTCAAAATGCCAAGGAAATGTAGTCTCCAAAAATGGATATAGGTAGCACATTATATAAACAATCGCCTAGCTCTGGAAAGAGAGACATCACAGACAGGTTGATCTATATTAAATTTTTACTAGGAGAGACCGCAGTTGCATACCTGTGTTTGTTTGCAATAAGCCTTTATCTCATGTTGTTAGTAGACTAAGCAAAAATGCTATTCATTGTAAAATGATACTTTGTTCTTGTGTTGATGAGTGGAGATGAAGAAGTCGAAACGCTGTGCGGGTGTTGAAGGTTTATTGCGATGTAGGCAATGGAGAGATGGAACACTCACATACCTTCAGGAACCTATACATACTGGCTAGAAAGGTGGTCGTATTTATACTAGCCATGTTAAGGGACGTTATGAACTATATATATTTTCATAGATGATGTCAAATTGTAACTAATTTGAAATAAATTTTATACAAAGGGAGTAATGAACTATAAAAAGTTAATATATAAGATTAGATTATTTAAAATTATGCTAGACATAAGTCAGATGTTTCATCATAATGTATCTGCCTATGTTAATTTAGTACTGACATTTCCTGTGAACAATCATGTATTGACCAGTGGCCAGAGGTATTCTGTCGTTACTGATCTACTACACATGTTCATGTATTAGTTTGTTCCCTGATTATATAAGTCATTACCTGAAGCCTATCTAAGCAGTTTGTATGATGGTCAGTGTAACTTTATCTTGTTGTAAACAGCTGAATCTATTGCCATTTATGTGTGCAAGACCTTGTGGACAACTCATGTATACTTCAATCCATGTTTACCTGTTAGCTAATGTGTATTAGTACTTCATCAGTTAATTAACATGGCAAGTATAAATACGACCACCTCTCTAGCCATGTTAATTAACTGGTGAAGTACTAATACACATAAGCTTACTGGTAAACATGGATTGAAGTTTTAGTCTGGTTACTCTATACCTCCCCCTTGTGCTAAACTGTGTAGATTAACTCATGGCATTAGAGCTTCTTCTGGTGACCTACTGGGTTAAAACTGGATACATTTATCACTCACTAGTGCCTGACTATCTGGGTTAACACCGGATACATTTATCTCCCCCTAGTGCCTGACTATCTGGGTTAACACTGGATACTTTTATCCCCCCCTAGTGCCTGACTATCTGGGTTAATACTGGATACTTTTATGTCCCCCTAGTGCCTGACTATCTGGGTTAAAACTGGATACTTTTATCACTCACTAGTGCCTGACTATCTGGGTTAACACTGGATACTTTTATCGCCCCCTAGTGCCTGACTATCTGGGTTACAATGGATACTTTTATCTCCCCCTAGTGCCTGACTATCTGGGTTAACACTGGATACTTTTATCTCCCCCTAGTGCCTGACTATCTGGGTTAACACTGGATACTTTTATCTCCCCCTAGTGCCTGACTGTCTGGGTTAACACTGGATACTTTTATCGCCCCCTAGTGCCTGACTATCTGGGTTACAATGGATACTTTTATCTCCCCCTAGTGCCTGACTATCTGGGTTAACACTGGATACTTTTATCTCCCCCTAGTGCCTGACTATCTGGGTTAACACTGGATACTTTTATCTCCCCCTAGTGCCTGACTGTCTGGGTTAACACTGGATACTTTTATCCCCCCCTAGTGCCTGACTGTCTGGGTTAACACTGGATAATTTTATCTCTCCCTAGTGCCTGACTATCTGGGTTAACACTGGATACTTTTATCCCCCCTAGTGCCTGACTGTCTGGGTTAACACTGGATACATTTATCTCCACCTGGAACCTAGTATGTATATGAGTCAAGGTGCTTGGAGTGGCACGCCTGGAACCTAAAATGTTTAGGAGTCCAGGTACCTGGAGTAGCCTCCCCTGGAACCTGGTATGTGTACAAGTCAAGGTGCTCGGAGTAGCATCCTCTGTGATCTACAAGGTGTGATCTACATATTCTTATGAAACTGGTTTATAGGTATAAAAGGTATAAAAAGAAAATGTTAAGATAGATACTGGATGAGTAGAGTTTATGAATATTAAAACTTATGTTGACAGGTACGCCACGAGGAATAGACATCAGGGATCTTCAGTCAAGTTTGTATAGACTACCAGGTGTAAAAGATATCCATGATCTTCGGGTGTGGTCACTGTCCATGGACAAACTAGCCCTCTCAGTCCATTTGGCTGTCAGTAAGTAATAGAAAAGTAGTAGCTGTTTTTTGCTCCATTTCTTCTTCTTAATATTAATACAAGCCAAGCATAAATAAGTACTAGTGCATTTAGAATGCAGCTGTGTCTAAGAAATGATAAACTTTTCATAAATGTATCTTAATATTGTCCAAGGGGTCTGGTGATAAATGGTGACAAGGTGGTGATGGTTATAAATAAAAATCATCTTTTTACGGAAACGATTTCCATGAAAATTGGTAGTTTTACACCAGAAACACCATGTTGACAAGATGGCCGCAACATAGCATCTTCTGATTGGTTGAAGTTTAAATATTGTCTGATTTCCTTTAAAATTGGTATGTAGTTGGGTTTTACACCAGAGACACAGTGGTAACGTGTTTTCCAACTGGACAAGATGGCCGCCACAAAGCGCTGCTAAGTGATTGAGATTTAGATATCATCCAATTTTCATTAAAATTGGTATGTAAGTGTGGTTTTACTCAGAAAAACACAATGGTGACATTGGTTTCCTTATTGAACAAGATAGATGCCTCATTTATGGCTTCTGATTGGTTGAAATTTAGATGTCTGATTTTCAGTCCCCTAGGATAGCGCTTTTGATTTGTTGAAATTTGCCTGTGAAAATCTGTATAGAGATGTTATCTGACACAACAAACAAAACACTGATGTCTGTTTTCTTATTGGACAAAATAACTGCCCTCCACAGTAGACTAGTTTGATGAAATTGAAATACATTGTATTGTTCAATTTTCAATACTTATCTTACAAATCTTAACTTAACACTATGTGCATCAATTACGACAGGTGTTTAGGGGACTGATGTAATGGTCCCCATTACAATTAGTTCTTGTTCCGAATTGTGGATGTTTGTCGAGAACTTACACTGAATTAAATTTTTATTTTTTAAAGAAAGTTTGAAAACACATTTTGTGTTTTCATGTGATGATAATAATTAAAAAAAAAATCAACTTAAACAAACCTAAATAAAAAAACGAAACAGGAAATCAGTCTAGTAAGCCTGTAAAAATGCATGTATTGTTTGTATCCCAAGGTGTTGATCATAACCCACTAGATGTACTGAAGGAGGCAACACAGATGATTCAGCTAAACTTTGGTATCCAGGAAACCACAATACAGACTGAAGCCTACGAGGAAGAGATGTTAAATTGTACCCAGTGTCAGGATCTTCCAGACTGACCCCCGCATTTATTGACCCTTTGTCCTACAAGAATGACAAATTTACCACAAAAGACACCTCACAAAACTGACCAGCTTGCCGAAATGGCTAGCCCTATGAACTGTTTACATTTCAGGAAACATTAAGTCTAACAACAAACAATACTCTTTAGGTTTTAATCTGTATGCTAGATACTGGATAAGGCAATTTTATTAAGTTTGTGCCTGTCATTTGTTAAAAACAAAAATTAAACTCAAGTGACTCATGGGCCTCTTGTTTCACAGATATTTCAACACAATGCAATGTTGAAATATTAAAAAATGCAGTTTTACACACCAGTAAATAACAAAAAATTCAAATAAATTCTTAAGGATGTACTCCTCGGAGAAGTGAAAAAGAATCCTATATAGATTTGATTTTAGAAAGCAGATTAAAAGCATAAAATCATATATTGCTGCACCACTTTTTCCGGTACAGGAATATGTGGAGCAGAAAATAAGTCATTTCCATATATAATTTTTATTTTTTTCATAAATAACAGACATTCCCTGTTATTTTTATGGTAAACTTTTTTTAAATAAATTTTCATCTCTCATTACCAATCAATGGAATGATACTTGGATCTTGAGAAAAATCATATGAAAATGCTGAATTTTTATTTGATTGAACAAGTTTTAAATATAGCAACCAAAAAATGAAAATGTTTCAAAACGACATAAATCTTTTACTTGAACATCTTCTAATATTAAACTTTTTGGAAATGCTATCAACTGAATCATGCTGTCAACTATGCCGTCATAAAATGTAGAAGTCCATGAGCAAAATTTCTTCTGAACATCATATTATGAATTGCCTGTTTTCAACTCGCAACTATAGATGACAAAGTATATAAAAAGACATAATTCCAAGATATTATGTTGGAATTTATTTTTTTCTTATTTATTTATCAGAGGAGAACATCCTTAAGTAGCCAAACTCAGCCATGATATTAAAAGTCTTTTCCTGGAAATAGAGTCACTGAGGGGAGATGACTGATTTTAGCCAAACAAGAAACATTCCTCCTTCTGGTACAAAGGCTCAGATCATACTATCTTCATATGCATTCCTTCTTATTCTCCCGCATTCATAAATATTTTAATTATTCACCAATTTCTTCCGACTTTCTCGGAAAATGACCTTTATATATTCTATGTACTGTATTTTCCGGCCTGTGAACTGCACCCGAGTATAAGCAGCAGGACCGGTTTTAGCAATTTTCACGATTTCATCCAAGTAAAAGCAGCACCAGGGTTTAACCTACTCTTTCTTATGATATAATGACCACTCTTGTTGATGTTTGATATACCATTAACAGACAACATAAGGAAGTTTATGTAGATTGTCAGTGTAACATTTAATAAAGTTGACTGATGAATTTTGCACAAATAATCCTTTATCTTATGGATGTGTTCTTAAATAATGCTGGTCATTTAAAATACCTTCGGTACATAAAATAGTGAACTTGTTTGGGGCCTTCAATGATTGCCAGATTGACTTATGTATAGTGTAACAACCTCGCCGCCAGTGTCTGTACTGTTAAATACATTAACATGTTGATAAAGTTCTTATAATCCTGTACTACATTTTTGCAAGCTGCACCAAAGCCGCAGACACGTAAACAAACATGGCCACCATTCTAGAATTTGACTTCTTCACCCCATGAGGCAAAATGAGTAAATTCTTAAAATTTTACTCCACCTACAGGAACGAATAGATGTTGCCCAAATTTGGTCTGAAGCATCTCTTGGTAAAGGGGTATCCATTTTTTCCTGAATAAGGTCAGAGGCATTTTTGGGTGGTGAGGAATCAATCTTGCATAAATGAGAAGTCTCAGCTCATTGGAACAGGATTGGGGAGGTCCAATAAGGAAAATAGAGCAAACTCTACACCTCTTGGTTAGAGTTTGGCCGAATTTCGTCTTAAGCATTGTAAGGTGAAGAGAAATCAATCTTTTATAAACCTTCGATCTCGACCCCTGGGACACAGGGCAGGCCCAATATGGGAAATAAATGGAATTCTTCAAGATCCTACTTGTAACCTGGATGAGCATGACTTACATCGCTGATATAAGAATGACACAAACACCAAATATACAATATCAACAAGACTTTATTACACTATGTATACTCGTATATTCTTACCATATCATAATTTTCATTCCCTTATGTAAAGTTACTATCACTGCAAATAGCAGTCTGATATCCACTAAGTCACTCAGTAGTCATTTACACAACGTCCAATACTCAGAAATGTCCATGGATGGTCTCTACTCATTCTTCCCATTGACTAAGGCAGCTCCAGTCACAATGCTCCATGATACAGAAATATGGTGATCTGTTCAAACACAGTGTAAGTTACCAATAGGGTCATCTTTGAACCTGCTTGCCTACATAGGACATCTGGAGTTACATGATTGTCCAGATAATAAATCATACAGCTATCCACACAGGAACATATACGGCAGTAGAATTGCCCACGCAGGACTGCATTCACTTACTACTTCACCCACATAGGACTGTATAAATGGCCGTCTTGCCCAAAAAAGGAACAGTGTGCACTTTATATACATATAATATGCTACAAATGCAAAACAACATATTTCCGGTATATAACACAACGTAGGGACTATTGGAATGTTATAAAACTTATCGCAAACTGTATTGTGCGTTGATGTACCCCAATTCAACATAAACATGCTCAAACAACCATTCCACCGATCCGCTTTTCTCACGTGTATCTCGTTCCTTCCGCCCTACTAACGTTCACATTATGAACCCGGATCCGGTGTATCCGTATTTATGATATTTACAATAAATTATCACAAGAATGACAATGAAATACAAAGGTTAGAAAACATTGGGATATTAGAATAAAACAGATGTACAGAGTTACCAAGATATTGGAGATAAAGAAAATCATTTAAAATCCTACTCTTCAAGTAAGAATGATTGGATTATGACCAAATTTGGTCTGAAGCATTCTTGGGTGAAGAGAAACCAATTTTGCTAGGTGAGTGATACATGCCCTATAGACCTCTTGTTTTATAAGTAAGTTAAGACTAATACTGAAATGAGTGTACTGTATGTAACAGGGTGTATGTTGGAGACAGAATGAGGGAGGGTGTATTTATGCGAGGGTGAGAGAGAGATCTGTCGGAGAATGTTTTTTTTCACTAGAAACAGATGCAAAGTAATAATCGTCTGATTACAATGAAATGATTCTGTTGCTCAAACAACTATTCCACCGCTCCGCTTGATCACATGTATCTCGTTCCTTCGGTCCTACTAAAGTTCACATTATGAACCCGGATCTGGTGTATCCGTATTTATTATATTTATGATAAATTATCACAAGAATGACAATGAAATAAAAAGGTTAGAAATCATTGGAATAATAAAATAAAATAGATGTTATCAATGCATTATCTACTTGACATTTGTTTATATATAGTTATAAACGGTAGGGACTGTGACGACGATTAAGGATCCAATGTTGTATTAATGGTGATGTGGGTTTTTTTTTTTTTTGTGTGCAGAATGATGGGAACTGTTATGGAATATGGTCCAGTAACATTCCTCAGCTCCAATGAAAGATTCTGGTCAGTGGTCACCTACTTGATGTATTCACAAGAAACTCACTAGAATAAAAATATCATAAAACACTATGTTTCCCACCTAATATGTTTCATATTGTCATGTGTAGAGGAACATGTAAACTGATGAAAAGTGAAGAAACACTTATCTAAAACTGGTAAAACATGGCTTCACTTTACAATGGAGGCTTCACCACTTCACTTTTACACTGGTATGAAATGGACACTTGTGTAAGATCATCTAGGTGTTCTTCACATGAATGCATGTGACCTGGACTGTAATCAAGAGGAATTTGTATGGAAGGTTCAACTTTACAAAACAAGGCTTAGAATTAATTAATTTAGTCAGCCTTTGATAAGATAAATTAATTTTTATTGATGAATTTAGAAAAAAAACATTTAAAATGAAAAGAAATTTAAGATCCTTAATTCCTTTTCCAGCATATGATCCAGAAGTTTTATATATATTGGAGGAATCATGTTTTTTATGCCATTCTTGATGTCATTTTGACTGATTTCCATTGTGAGATCATTATGTAATCTATGAGCGTTATGATGTCATTTATTTATCATCTCTAGCATCGTGAGACATCACAGAACACGATTTCTACATTAAGAACATCATTTAACCATTGAATGGTTATAACATTGTCTTTATTGCCAATATGAATGTTATATGGACAACAATATTTCAGACGTTACATGGATCTTTTAAGTGATATACGTCTATCTTATAATTTTTAGGCTTTGCCTTGTATGCTTTTTGCTGTAAGAGCTTCCTGAAAATCATTATCGTCTGAACGTTGTACGTTAAGCTAAAATATGTGTAATCTGAGGAACTGTGCGAAGCGTTGATGTAACCCAGATTAACAGTGCCAAAACGAGGTCACATTATTGTCTTGTGACTGAAAATTTGATATAAAACTGATTTTATTGAATGTGGTAATGCAAAATGTAATATATGGGTACAGTATATACACCGACTAACACAGCAATCATTTGATGATAATTTTTCATGTTAACTATGTTATTTTACTTTCTTGCGGGTTTGTTATTTTTTCAGATGCACCGAAGCTTACGCACGCTGTATCAGTATATAGTAATGTCAGTCAATTATACTATATTTACTAGATATATTTTAAACCTTCAGCAGTTTATCCTGCTTTAGGTTTATATTGGTCTCAGTTATTTGTAGGGCAACACAATCAAAATGTGTAATAAATCTTTTTTTTTTAAATACTGTAATTGTGTGTTGGGTTTCTTTGCTACCCGCTATTCAAATAACCTTGCATCTGTGGTCAGTTAGTGGTTAGATGGTCACCCATGGTCCATTATCTGTCTGTCCTTATACGGAAAATTCGGCAAATAATGGAAAATCCACATTGATGGACCGTGAGTTGGCAATAAAAATAACACGATATTATGTTCATTTCTGAATACATGATTGTGGTAAGAACACCAGTTACTGTTATTTCAGAAGTGTGAATACTTTGTCCAATTACTGGCTGATTTATAAATAAAATTTGTTACTGGTAAAACTTTATCAATAATACAAATAATGAGACATCAGACGATCTATTTTCTGTCAGGCTCTGTAAGAGAAGTCATTCTTAATTCATTGTGTTAGCTAGGATTCCAACCTAGGACCTCTGGCTTACTAGTCTGATGCTCAACCGATCAAGCAAAAGAGAAGTTCTCTCTAGCTGAGCGGTATATTGTGGTTAGTTTTTTTTACCAGGGTTACATACTCCCCCTCCAGGAAATAACTCATCCTCTAGTTTCCAGGGGTTACAGCGGTATCTGTGAAAGTAATGCGAAGTATTATTCCCGAGTCCCTATATAAGTGCCAATGTGCAAGGATTTGAACCTGGGACCTCTTGCTTACTGGGGTAGAAGTTCTCTGTTGCCGAGTGGTATATTGCAGCTACTTACCAAGGTTACAGATTCAAAGTAATTTAAATTCAAGTAATTCATTGCTCAATGTTATACACATGTATATGGACATTTGGAGTGAAGTTGATAAGTACAAGACACTAAATTTCTTTTTTATGGAATTAGAACCATATGTTCCAATGTTCGGAACTTGATTTCAAACAGTCTTGAGACACTGAAACAAGTTGACGATTGGTATTGTTGATGTTAATGAATATTCAATAACTATTTCACTATATGTTGACTTTTATCATCATTGAATTGAAATGAATTATAATCTATGATCAAAATGATTGCAAACACAAAGTTAAGCATAAACACTTTCAGAGAAATCTTTAGATAATTAACTACAGTAGCAATAATGTTGATGTCATTTATACTTTGACGTCATTGTACATTATTCTCATTGGTGAGTGAGTCCAGTCTCAGGTTAGACCGTTAGTTAAGGTTTAAATGAAGCCATACGAATCTCCTTCAGACACATTTGAGCAATTGCCACATCTAGCCTTGTTACACTTGTGAACTGTTCATCAGTTAGTAGTTTTGATTTACACACTATTCGTTGAAGACTTTTAGGCTGACTTTTAATTTTTGATTAGTTTATACTTTTCTTTTACATTTTTCATATAAGTTTACAAGATCGGTTCATTTAGTTTGTCCACTTGCGTAATACGAGATTAATGGCAACCGAAATGACACGAAACGCTATTGGTAATGAAAACCATCGAATCCTCCTAAAAACGGTGAGAAATATATTGTGAGAGTCAAATTTACACCCAGTTCGCCAGAACGTTGGTTTGCCACTGATACCTCGACGTCGAGTACATTGTATGTGATGGTTGACGGCATATGTGCCGAGACGTTATGAGCACGGATGAATCTCGATACACGTTATTTCGATCAGATGTGCCAACGTGTTTACCACCATCGAGAAGAGTGTATTGCAGATGCTTGTGTTTTGGAGCACGACAGGTTGGATGGATTGGTTGTGGTTTGGGGAGGAATTCCCTATTGGATTGACCTCTGGTTAGTTCCGATTTGTCCCCAATCGAAAAGTATTTACCAAGGAACGGAATAGCAATCCTCTACGGACTGTCAATATTCTTATTAACTCCATGCCACATTAATGAGACGCTATAGCTGTTCGGGGAGAGCACACACAGTATTAGGAATCTGCCTGACAACTGTCGTTATTTAATTTTTTTGTACATTAGGGTACCTTTATTCATGGTAGTCTAATAAAGAATACATGGTGTGTAAGTTATATGCCAACATCCATGTGCAAAATGTATACGTGCTTGCCTGTGAATCAGCCTGCTAATTCAGTCATGCTCTGTAAGCTTACTGAGAGTGTTTCCCATGTGAATTTTTATAGCAGGATTCAATACTTTGTTAACATCCCCACAGATAATTCTGTATTTAGCAGCAAATTCTTAAAAAAAATATGTTATAATATTATAAAAGCCAGGGTCATCCTTGTTTGAGCCATATACATATATTCGATTTCGACATCTAAGGCTAAACAATGTCTGAAATATCTTTCTTTTCTTTGATGAATTTAAATTCAAATTAAAATAACATTGGAAACCCCATTCATTTCGTATGGTGTTTTTCTGTTCTTCAGTAAAATGATTATCTTGTAAGCATAAAACATTAGAGTTTGTTGACTTAAGACAAGAAAAGACATCTTTTCGGTTATCCTTATCCCCAGGCCCTGATTATTTACCGATAGTATAATTGTATTTGAGCCATAGCTGTCGATCAAGAACAGGTATAAGAGTACCATCCCAGAGTTAAGAAGATGAGACAGAGACAGAAAGAGAAATTTGACGGAGAACATATAATGAGGTAAGGTCATTACTAAAATGGTCATTCTACAGAGACTACCGTAGACAGCACTTTGTATGAATACACACTTAACGGAATAAAAGAAATTTTGATCCCGAAAAGTTATTCAAATGACTCGCTGCTAAATTTACCTTGAGAGAATTGACACAACACTAACACACACAAAAAGAAGAAGAAAAAAAAGAAATGATCGGTTCAACCAGGTTTAATCTGTCCGTGAGCGGCATGTCATATAAAAAAGTCTTCCCATATTACCATCTGCCAGAATAGCAAAGAGCTAACCATCTGAACTATAGGAGTTCCTCACACACTGAAGTTTATATGCGTCCTTGAGAATCTATTTGTTAGCCTTCGGAGATGGTGTACCCTGTCTTCTTCAGTGTCGTGCGGACTTTGTTGATCTCATTTTTTTTTGTCGGTATTTCTTGGTCTTTCCCTGTTGAACTTTCCAAGACGACATCGTCTATATCCGTACTAGTAATTTGCAGTAAAGTATTTGTGACCAAACAGAGAAGTCGCCCTATAAATACGAGGTATATATAATGTATTGATGGATCTTTCGAGCCCCGAAAAGAAATATGAACATTAACATGTTCCCGATGTATTTTAACAGTGATAATAAAATTATGACAAAGAACTATTTTGAATAGTCAGATTTCAATGCTGCTCATATATTTCTAGTTTTTAATTGTAAATCTGCACAACTATATACATATGAATATTCTACTATTATGATGCAATGTTTTTGCTGAGGTTTCTGGTTGGATTTTAGCATCTGACTGTTTTATTTGTCACCCATGCTAGATACAATAGTCAATTTAAAGATATTTTACCGTTATAAATCTTCTACGCATGAAGGATACATTCTGCAATAGTTTAACTTTGTTTATACATGAAAGTCCATTCATCTTATTACAATTTGGATTATTGCAGTAATACTGAGGAATACAGTTTCCATACATATCTTAAATGTCGTCATGTTTGCATGTAAATAGATAGTGGATCTGAGTTAGTGATGGTACTCCCGGGGATCTGTGTTAGAGCTAGTAATCCTGGGGATCTGTGTTAGTCCAGTACTTCTCGGGGATCTGTGTAATTGCTAGTACTCCCGGGGATCTGTGTTAGTGCTGGCTGTGTTAGTGCTGGTACTCCCGGGGATCTGTGTTAGTGCTGGTACTCCCGGGGATCTTTTTTAGTGCTAGTACTCCCTGGGATCTGTGTTAGTGCTGGTACTCCCGAGGATCTGTGTAAGTGCTGGTACTCCCGAGGATCTGTGTTAGAGCTGGTAATCCCGAGGATCTGTGTTAGAGCTAGTAATCCCGAGGATCTGTGTTAGTGCTGGTACTATTTGGGGATACGTTTTAGTGTATTTACTCCGCGTATATCTGTATTAGTTTTAGTACTCCTCGGAAATCTGTGTAAGTGTTAGTACTCTTCGGACATCTGTGTTAGTGCTGGTATTTCTCGGACATCTGTGTTAGTGCTGGTATTTCTCGGAGATTTGTGTTAAGGACAGTACTTCTCGGAGATTTTTGTAAGTGGTTCGCATTGAGGATCTGTGTCAGTTCTAGTACTTGTCGGAGATCTGTGTAATTGCTGGTACACCTCGAAGATCTGTGATCGAGCTGGTACTCCTCAGGGATTTGTGTTAATGCTGGTTCTTCTCGGAGATCTGTGTTGGTGCTAGTACTCCCAGGGATCTGTGTTAGTGCTATAACACTTAAGGGGTCTGGTTTAGTGCTGGTACTCCTCGGAGATCTGTGTAAGTGATGGTACTCCTTAGGAATCTGTGTTTGTAGTCCTCGGAGATCTGTGTTAGTGCTGGTACTATTTGGGGATACGTTTTAGTGTATTTACTCCGCGTATATCTGTATTAGTTTCAGTACTCCTCGGAAATCTGTGTAAGTGTTAGTACTCTTCGGGGATCTGTTGTAGTGCTGGTACTCCTCATAGATCTGTGTAAGTGATGGTGCTCCTCGGAGATCTATTCTAGAACTCCTGGGTATCCGAGTTAGCACTAGTAGTCCTTGGAGATCAGTGTTAATTGAGGACTTGTGTTAGTGCTGGTACTACTCAGAGACCTGTAAAAGTGCTAGTACTCCTTGTAGATGAGTCGGGGATCTGAATATCTGTATTAGTGCTGATACTCATAGGCGATCTCTAAGCACTAGTACTCATCAGTGAGCTGTGTTAGTGCTGGTACTCTGCGAAGATCTGTGGTAGTGCTGGTACGCCTTGGGGATCTGTGGTAGTGCTAGTAATGCTCAGGAATCTGTGTTAGTACTTCTCGGAGCTCTGTGTTAAGGTAAGTAATCATTGGAGATCGGTTAAAGTGCTAGTACTCTCGGGTATTCGAGTTAATACTAGTGCTAGGAATATGTATTTGAAGTTCTCGGAGATCTGTGTTGGTGCTGGTACTCCTTCAAGATCTGTGATAGTGCTGGTATTACTCGAAAATCTGTGTTAATGTTGGTAGTCCTTCAGGACTGGAATAATTGTTGTACTACGAATTCTAATAATGTTGAAAAAAAATCTTGATGCAGCTTATATTACCATGGATTTACCAATTACAAACACAAAAAATATTTTTATCTACAAAACTGGATGGCAGACACTATCAACAGGAATCGGAATAAAATTGCTAGAATGGTAATTCTGAGCTGTATAGAAGTGGCCCCAACTCCTTAGCCCGTCTTAAATACCATCTTTACCTCCTTAAATAAGTATTACAATACAAATACACCACAAAATTTGATGTGTACGCTGTTGTTACGTCTTTTGTTGGTCGATTGTGCCGAAGATAAATAATTTGTCACCGATAATTTGTTGTTACACTAATCCCTATACGGGTATATCAGTAGTCTGCTGTATCAGGATTTACATTAATTACAGACACGTAAAGCGAAACAGTCTTCCGGACTCAACATTGATGACAAAATGTCACTTAAACAAACATTTTGTACAGATATCCCTGAGGGGAATAAATGTTTAGAAAGTTTGATTTTAACCAGAATAATGATAAGAACACCACACTATTTGTATATTGCCTAACGAAATATACTATTTTTTGGCATTGTGTTGGTGACTAAGAGGTTGTCTTCTTGTCATCTATTGAACAAAATATTACGACGCAATGTTTTTCATTATTATAGTTGAAATTACTTTAACTGTCTCCGAATTCTACTACTTTTAAATGGAGCATGGTACTAATCGAGATACCAGGTAGGAAAGTCAATATTAATATCTTCACTGAACTTGGACACAATAAATCCAACAAGATAATCAGAGGTTATTTTCCAATTATTTTTCAAGTTGTCATCCTAAAACTTGTCTCCAAAAACTAATCTATGACTGGATTTCTATCAGTTTTAACGTTTTTGCAACTGCTCCTTACGTTTTCAAGGTACAAAGGATCTATCCGTCTTTGTTGTGTCCTTCTAGGGACTGAAATCTCGTTACCGTCTCTTGCTCTGTCGAACATGAGGTTAATCTTAATCTTTATTCATTTTGTGAAACTGGTGGTATCTATTCGAAATGAATTCCATTTTATCAATAAGTTTTAATTTCAGAAAGTTAAAATATAAAATTGTTAAGTAGAAGTGGGAAGATGTACATGCATTGCATCTTTAGACAAGTTCCGTGATAGACTTGCACAATTCCCGTAATGTAAAGAGCTTACGAGAAAATATAAAGATGGAATAACGATATGTTGAGGTTTATGGGGTATCAATCACAAATGGGCCTTGATACATGTCCCTTTGAAGCCCTATGAACCTCGAATTAGAAACAGTTTATATACAATTGGTCTTAAGGTCCATTTTATACCCCATAAATCTCAACATAAAGTTTTTCAGTTCTTAAATAGTTTTATACAAAAGTATATGATTAGATTATAGACACATCTGAAAACTCTCAACTCAAATCTGTCATCTAAACATTAAGGCAGAATGTCAACTTGCGGATGTTTATCATGCAGGTTGTAGAAAACAATAAAATTCTATTTTCCCTACTATATATAATCTCACAGAGAATATTCTATTTCCTTAGGGTGCAATATTCAGTCAGATGTTTAATTATCTGCCTGATTGTTTTGTCGTTATAAAACTCAGTTTCATTTGGTAACGTGTTTCTTTTTTTATGATTAATAAAGTAGAAATATGTTTTTCTTTCCTGATCATCTAGATTTTAATCTCCTTGTACTTTTTAAGAATCTCCCTGCAAGTAAATCTTTCATTTACTTATATTTTGCCTTCCTTTCATCGATTTAGAGTTTAAGTTGATATTGTGTTGACATGTCGCTACTTTCCTGCATATTCCAAGAAATGGAGTTGCAAAGCCTTGGGGTTGTTTAGCGGTTTGGACATGGCCCAGAGAGCGACAGACACGTGTTCTCACAACAACAATATATTCAAAGATGGCGGATCCGGAATTATGGGTACAATACATAGGGGGAGTAACTCCTGACAGTCAACGATATAGGACTATTGGTAGCACAACAGTATTAATACATAATGTTGCAGGAGTAAAAACTAGAACAAAAATATTGTGACCATACACTTTATTCGGGAACTAACGAGACAAACACGATGGTTTCACAATATACACCTATATATGTGGCGGTTATCATTAAAAAGACCTATGTAACCGGCAGAACGGCTGGACGAGGACAGGTAAAGACACGAAAGAACACTCCTATAAGAAATTTAAAAATGAAATATAAAGATATAGAGAATATTTTTAGAAAATACTTGTGTATTAATGTTTCCACTCAAATTCAACTAGGTGAAAGTGAATGACTTATGTTGAATAACTTCATTACAATGTATACTATGAAAAAGGTAATTGGAAAAATGATAATGTTTGAGTTATACAAGACATTGTCCCCTCAAGATGTACACGTCATCAATGGCGATATCTCCAAGGTCACTTCCGCCAGTCATAGCTTCGAGGACGAACTAGAAAGTAGAAGTAAAATAGAAAACAAAAATATTAACAGAATTATCTAACACCAGATTAAAATCACAATTATATCAGAAAATAGTTCTATATTCTAAATGTACTGTTATAAACTAATACATCACTCTAGAGTGTTTTAGCAGAACAGGTATGTAGTAAGAAATTAATGTCAAAATGTAGTCATAATAAATTTATAAGTGTTTTAACTCAATCATTTCGAAAATAAAATAATTAAGCACGACTGAAATATGCTCACCTTAAAACTATCAGGACTAGAAATGCTTTCGCTGTATCTGTGCCACAGATTTCCTTGGTTTCCTTCGATTTCAGCCAAAACTTCATCATTTCCAGACATTCTGCGCACTAATCTGGCCTTCCTGGTGTCACTTCCGTACATGTAGTAATGGAATCGCATGCAGTAATCTCCTGCTGGGAGCTCAGGACTGATCAATCTGGTGGCGGAGTTATGGTTGTTCCTGGCGCTAGCCAGAGCGTAGTAACCTGCAGATGTATGTATTGCCAAATAAATATAAAGAAACATCTATTTTTTACATCGTAACAAATGTGCGTACATCCGAGTAGGTAAGAAAAGATTATGGTCTAATCACACAATTTATAGCATAGACTGTACATGGCGGTTAAGAAATTATAAATGCTTCTACGTAAAGTGAGTAAGCAAAATCACCGTGTATCCCAACACTATCAGTAACGGAATCATTTAAGGTGATTAGGGTAAGTATGATATGGAATATGTTACTGACCAATTCCGCTGCTGAAGTCGGCCTGTGGTCCGGTATCACCACTGGAGGATGGTCCCATATGTCTTTCAAGGTCGAAGTCATCAGTAGTGTCTTGTTCCCATTCACAGAAGTTGAACTCGAAGGTACATTTTGAGATCATACCTAAACGAGTTTTGACGATATTTCATTATTCCCTTCAGATTATTTTACCTTCATACATTTACACATATGTTTATGTAAAATTACCATGTTACATCGAATTTATTAAAAGTAATATTTCAGTTTCAAAAGATTTCTTCGAAACTTCCAAATTTAGAAGCTTTGACAAGTTATAGTCAAATCGTCTGTAGACAGACCAAAAGTTTTGAGACTACCATCGTGAAATGTCCTTTTCAAAAATTATTCTATAAAGTATATATTAATCTGACAATAGTCAGTTAAACTGACGACCAGAAAATGGAATCTGGTTTCAGAAACGAGACTAAAGATTCAGATATTAAAACGACTTTCAGTCTTTGTTTAGGTAAATCAGATGAACTTTGCATCAAATGAAGGTTCCTTACCTGACAGAAGGTCGAGTCTATTGCTGGTATCTGAAAAAAGGAACAAGATGATTATACTTTGTGTAAAATGTTACCCAAGCTTTCAAATGTTCTGTCTCATTACACACATGGAAGACACGCATGTTTAAACATTGAAATCAAAGGAAAAACAAATACGTCATATTCTTTTTTTATATTACTCAAATCATCTTGTCAAGCATTCAATGCACAACAAACATCAAACCAATTGTTATTCACACACAGAAGTGACATTGGATGGATTAGAGTGAGAGGTGTCTCTTGTTGAAGTCTTACCGGTTCCACATTCGTAAATCCTCTGGAGGTTGCTGACGTCGTAGTTGCTAAGACTGACCTTCCATGGGAACACCTGGCTTTCGTATCTAGCCTGAATAGTTGGCTTAGAGGGGTCCTTAGCATATGCGTAAGGGTAAAAGAATGTGATGGACTCAAAGTCGAATGGGTAGTTGAAAAATGTCGTGGCGTTTCCGACGGTGAAGAATTTTTGATCTTCTATAATATAGAAACAAACAGAGCGCTCGTATAGTATTGTTGTTACGGAAATAATACAATATACACGTGTACGTATATTAAAAAGACAGAAGGAAAAAAAATTTAATCAAGACGGCAGCATTTGATTACTTATGGCAAAATAGGAAATATATGCTAGATGGTGAAAGAAAGAAACACAAATGATTGTGACATTTAAGGTTTTAAACTTGCTAATTACACAATAAAATAAATATCCCTTTAAAAACATTAGACGAACGTACTCTCATCGATGTTGTCCATGTTGACGGTTACGTAGTTATCGCGGTCAGGACGGCGGAATTCATTGTAGAATCCAAGAGTGTAGACAAGGACCTGCATGATGTCGGCCTTGGCCATGTTGGGGTAGAGATGGATGGTCTGGGCACCACCTGACATGCCTGGTTGTCCGTCACCATACACACTATAAAATAGTATTTTACTTGACTATAGGAGCAATGTAAACAAACTGGTTGCGTTATTTAATTGGGAGCACATGTTCTCATAGTGGATATAGAAGAAAAATACAATAAGCTGTAAAACATAGCCGTTCATCTTAACAGGGTTCACATACTTTACTTCCTAAGGAAGGAGAAGGACAACTATTTCTTAAAAAGACCCCATTTAATCTGAAACGAAATAGTTTTACTTAAAATTTCCAGTGTCATAATTATAATATCCCATGTCAATATCGCGTCTTTGATGAATTGCAGATATCATTGTCATGCACTTTTATTCACTTCACAACAATTGCGAAACAAGTTTTGCCAGCTTATATTAATCACTCTTTTTGGCCCGGATGGGAGCGCGTAGGGGTCTGACTGTTAGAGGAAACCAGAGTACCCAGCGAAAACCCACATGGTCGGGTAGGTGACCCCTAACCTTTCCACGTCCTTGTCGGGAATCGAACAGCGGACATCTAGCTAGAAGGCGAGTGTGTTCCATTGCGCCATCCGACCACCCAATATATCATTATTGATAAGGTGACACTTGGAAATGAAAGCGCTTAATTTTAAAAGCGTCTTCAGATATAATGATATATTTTCCACGAATGTGTCTAATATTTGAGTATCTTTCAGTGTGCAGCACAATTTGTATTGGATATGTGTTTCTCTTCCCCAAACGACTTGATTTTCCAGTCATAGCAATTGCATGACGTCATTTCGACTATTTAATTACATGACTGACAACATCATGTTTACAAGAAGACCAGTACAGTAAGAGAATAAAAAAGTTCATTTTTTTATGTTAGAAATTGAGACAAATCAGGAATCTTCGCCCTCGAGTTGAGCTCATCCCAAATGCTGAAAGATATAAGTAATTACCCAGGAACGACTGTGAAGAGGGCGTAGTTGTCCTCATTCTTTCTCGGCACGAAAGACAGACAAGCTCTGGTGCCACTGAATGTACTCATCTGGATCTCCTGCATGGATGCTAGGATTTTCTCCAATGTAAACCCATCTAAAACATATTGGTGAACATTGAAATAGAACAAATCGTGAAAGAGATATTATAGTCATTTGCCAATGGAATTATCTCCCCGGAGAATGTTTTGAGGTATTTCATACCAAACTTACTCAGCTTTGACAGCAAACTTCATTTTCGATTACAAATTACACTAGTCCTCTCTATATAGCACTTGGTTAGCTGTAGCTAGTATCTCTAAATCAGACAGTGACAACAGTACAACAGCTTCCTCATTTTTATTATTTATCATTATTAATAAGTATAATGACATATCGTAATAGAGTATCGTATAGAAAACTTGACAATTGTAGTTGAGAAATCGTAGTTCAAATTCATAAATTGATGAGAGGATTTGAAGGAATGTAGACTGATAAATCATCATGGGCCAGTTTGATGGTCTTCACCCTTACCTTCGCCGCTGTGATATATCAAGTTACTTGAATTTGAATTGAGTTAAGCCCATTTTGTATCTTTATTGTTGATTGTGTTTGTTTTGTGGTTTATTCTTTGTCAGATATTCTTACCAATGCTTTTGTCGAATACGACTGGTACGACACCGAAAGGCCATAATCTACTCTTGTCTGTGAGGATGTTTCGTTTCTGTAAAACATTAAAAAAAGACATTTTTCATTAATTCTATCGTCGTGTTGTTCAATGCATAATGTCAACTTTTGACATTGGGAAGGGAAACAATGGCAAGATATGTCACCGCGGTATTCATGAAAGATACACGAATCTGTGACGACAAAGCAAAGCCATACTACTCTCTATTAGGATAATCTGCTATACAGATATGGGACCCATTCTTTGGTACAATTGAGGCAAGAAAAAATAGATAACAATTCAAAGCACTGTTCATGGAGTTAGGCATTGCAGTTGACCGATTTAGCAGAAGCGAAATAGACGCCGCCCAGGGATAGAGACTCCTTAAGTGATCAAAGCCTACGCTGAGATAAAATATTCTGCCCAGTCAGCAATCTTAGGATATCCGGAATCATGGTAAGGTTATTGGTACTCAGGATAAAATACTGTTATATTACATAGCGCTTAAAATCTTTGTTGAAATGAAAATGATATCATTATGACACGTGTGCTGGCGTCATTATTATTGTCATAAGATTCATTTGTGAATTCATTCCACACTTTCATTCAAGTAATATAGTGAAAGACTGTATTGATATTTTCAAGCTGACAATGCTTGGCGCGTTTGTGTATATAAAGTTTGAGTAGGTCAGTATTACCGGGGCACCTATCTTCTAGGTTACTTTGTTCGTGGACCTAAGTGGATAGCTTTGCAAATGTATCATCAGTGTACCCGATTTAAGTGTCGGTAGAGTCTGATAAGGGATATAGATAATAGAAGTGTTCCAATTCAGTGACAGGAGAACTAATACGACAGGTCGGGTACTCGTTGTTATAAATAGATATGAGATACAACTTTATGATAAATTTTATTGCCATCTCGTATAGATTTATGTATTGCACTTTTGACATGTCATTGAAAAGTTTTGAATTTGCTATGTATTTTTGCCAGAGGGGAAACTAGTTTGTGAGAGGTACATTCATTGCCGCCTGTGTTATCTAAGCCATCTAAATCCAATGCATTATTTCTACAGTGAAAGTAACACATCGACGTGATTGTAGCCTTAAAACTGTAATCGCTAAGGATACCAAATATAAAAGTACATGCACAACCTTGAAAATCACCTCTGAAAAACTTCAATGACAAACCGATTTTTTCGTACCTGTGTCTTGAGCGTGACACAGTTAGTGGTGTGACCTAGTGCTTGACATACCGGTGTATCCATACAACCAAACAATCCGTCTTTACAGGTACAATCACAGAATTACCGAAATGCTTCTCAAACAAATAAGCGAATATTTCAATTATCAAATAGAAATCAAGGAAACCAGAGAAATACCACGAAGAAAGCAATATACAAACAGAATAGACGATGAAACATATTGTGTCAAGAATTGTGTTCGGCGTCAATCCTTCCCGATTTCCTCCAATATTTTTGCGTATTGAATCAAGTTGCATGGATATTTATGCCAGTGCTGAAAGTCTTCTATATTACGACACAAAAGACAAACGATTATCATTATCATTGATGATTTCCTACTATTTATCAGTAAAAACTACCAAGAGATGTATTGCAGATAAGAAAGTCCTTTTGACTCGTGAGAATCTAATAAAATAGTGAGCCGACTTTGAAGGTCACCGATATGTTATCTTGTCGCGGAGTGAGGTATTGAGTAGGGCAAGTGATATGTCAGACAGTCACGGTGTCTAGGGCATGCATGCCATTCTAACTAGGGAGTAACTCAAGCGAACTTGGTGACAGGACTTACTGGCATATTGAGAATCGTACCAGGCTTATCTACAACGATATCAATTACTTACTGAAAGAAAAGCGATATTCCTGAGATTTTTTCGCTTTGTTTTTACTTTTTTTAGTTATTTAGTGTAGTTAACAGTTTCATAGTGTAGTTAACAGTTTGTTAGAGTAGTTAACAGTTTGTTAGAGTAGTTAACAGTTTGTTAGAGTAGTTAACAGTTTGTTAGAGTAGTTAACAGTTTGTTAGAGTAGTTAACAGTTTGTTAGAGTAGTTAACAGTTTGTTAGTGTAGTTAACAGTTTGTTAGTGTAGTTAACAGTTTGTTAGAGTAGTTAACAGTTTGTTAGAGTAGTTAACAGTTTGTTAGAGTAGTTAACAGTTTGTTAGAGTAGTTAACAGTTTCATAGAGTAGTTAACTGTTTAAATTGCAATATGTAAAGCATTTGAAAGCATTATTCGAAATTGACTTTTCGAAGGTTGCGCATGTCTTGACAACGGCATCAAAGAACTGTATCATGAACACATGATAGCATATCTTGAATAATACTGGTACTTATGGAAGCGTTCATCCAAACAGAGATTCAGCAGGTGTTTTTGAGTTCTTCAACATAATAGCTAGAGGCTGAGCCTGTAATTCTGTGTTCTTCAGAGAGTGTACTTTTGTGTACTTAAACACTACAGTTAGAGACTGAACTTTACTTTTGTGTTCCTCTTTCCTTTATGAATTGCTCTTTCCAATACTACACGTGCCATTTCATCGTGATTTGTATTCAGCATTGATAATGAAATTGATTATGCGACCCGAGTTAGAGTACCCTAGGTCATAATGCTGTATACTTATCAATCTGGCCTCTATTCTCTAGGTCTAAAGAAACAAACGCTTAAGGTATCATGACTGTTCACTGGGTCATAAGAAACAAACGCTTAAGGTTTCATGACACCATTGGTATTTACAGGTCATCCAAGCTATTAACATCGTAATGTACCTTGGCAACGCAAGGAAAGTAACTCACTAAATGTTGAAGTAGAAAGACGAGATAGGATTCATCATCCATTTGAAGTATTGTTTGATGCTCTCATTATAAATAATCTTTTTAAAGTCTTAATTGGCATCGTCATAGAGACATGTCTCTTTTGGGAAAGGTTTTCATCAAACAGCAAGATTACCGTTTAATTCAGTTACAGTCACTGCATCTACTTAACATACACAGAGATGTGTAGCTTATATGTGAAATTAACGTAACACGGTGACAGTTCAGTCTTTTGTGGTGCTATTTGAGGTAAAATTATCTAAAACTAAAAACTGTTTGCAGCAGCAACAACATATTTCAAAGTTTATGAGTCTACCCTTATAGAAAGTCGCATGTAGTAGTCTGAAAGCTGTATACGATTATCGGTAAAGAGGTAAAATTTTATCTTAGTATAAAAATATGATATACTGATGTTTCAAAAAAGACACATAATTGAAAAGCACCAGGTAACACAAGTTTAGATTTGGATAGAGTATAGCAACATCAGGTATAAAAATGTGAAAATGATGCTAAAGTTTAAAGCCTTGGAAGTAACTGAGAAAAATCCAGTTAGAGATGTGAGATATATCTTTTCGTCGAGAATTGCATATGGAAGTGCGGCTATATTATACAATGTATATGTATATACAAAGTGAACTATTTAAGCCTATTTAAATACAAGACAAGAATATAATTTCTGACCTGTCTCTGAGGAACGGCAAGGCAGCATGAGGTTAGAGCCAGGATGAGGATAAGTCGGATGTCCATGGTTAGTGTGTGGTGACTTCAGGAGATCTGGGCACCTAGTCAAAGACACCGGCACTTTTAAAACTTGAGACACGTGGTACGGTACGCCCTTGCCCTATCTGAAGAAACTCGTATACGTCCATCAGTCCAATAGGAATCCAGGTTATCACGTTAATTGAAACGCTTATCATCCGTTGTCATGACCTTTTGTTTTCACGCGTAAAATGTTTGGCGACACAACGTAGACGGCCGATAAATCTTTTCAAGTATATCAGTATTGATAATGATGCTTGCAGACGAGTTTAGTTAACTTTAGATCAATGGGGACATAATATATAATTAGCTGAATATGTTTGAGTTCTCAGTTTTCCTGTCAGTAAACTGTCCTATGGTTCCGTTGTTATCCTGATGGTATCTGAAGAAAGTGATATGAAAGACAAGTCTTGCAGAGCCTTGTATAGACATTTTCAATAAAAACTAACATATCACTTCAAACTTATGATACATTGCACACGATTCCGACTCGATATGACTGTCGTCCTGTCGTCATATATGACACTATATTTTTTGTCTGTAATTCTGGGTCAGTTCGGCAGTGTGCCACTAAGTACAATATGTCTGTGTTATATTGAACTGTAGAGAGTAAGAATGTGAGATAAGACAGTTCTGTCCTTCTACTGTTCTCCAGATCGGTGGAAAAAGTTGTATACACGTGAAAAAAACAAGCGATCAAAATATATTTACTTTGTTGTATTCTAAGCTCTAACAACTTTAAGTTTGGTAGCTTTTCAGTACTTGATGGTGTGTTTCTCCTTATATTTGGTAGATCTTCAGTACTTGTCGGTGTGTTTCCTTAGATTTGGTACCTCTTCAATACTTGTCGGCGTGTTTCTCCTTAGTTTTGATAGCTCTTCAGTACTTTTCGGTGTGTTTTTCCTTAGTTTTGATAGCTCTTCAGAACTTGTCGGTGTGTTTCTTCTTAGTTTTTGTAGCTCTTCAGTACTTGTCGGTGTGTTTCCTTAAAATTGGTAGCTCTTTAGTACTTGTCGGTGTGTTTTCCTTAGATTTGGTAGTTCTTCAGTACTTGTCGGTGTGTTTCTCCTTAGTTTTGGTAGCTCTTCTATACTTGTCGCGTGTTTCTCCTTAGTTTTGGTAGTTCTTCAGTACTTGTCGGTGTGTTTCTCCTTAGAATTGGTAACTCTTCGGTTCTTGTCGGTATGTTTCTCCTTAGATTTGGTAGTTCTTCAGTACTTGTCGGTGTGTTTCCTTAGATTTGGTAGCTCTTCAATACTTGTCGGCGTGTTTCTCCTTAGATTTGGTAGTTCTTCAGTACTTGTCGGTGTGTTTTTCCTTAGATTTGGTAGTTCTTCAGTACTTGTCGGTGTGTTTTTCCTTAGTTTTGGTAGCTCTTCTGTACTTGTCGGTGTGTTTCTCCTTAGGTTTGGTAGTTCTTCAGTACTCGTCGGTGTTCTTCCTTAGATTTGGTAGCTCTTCAGTACTTGTCGGTGTGTTTTTCCTTGGATTTGGTACCTCTTCAATACTTGTCGGCGTGTTTCTCCTTAGATTTGGTAGTTCTTCAGTACTTGTCGGTATGTTTTACCTTAGATTTAGTAGTTCTTCAGTACTTGTCGGTGTGTTTTCCCTTAGTTTTGGTAGCTCTTCAGAACTTGTCGGTGTTTTACCTTAGATTTGGTAGTTCTTCAGTACTTGTCGGTGTTTTACCTTAGTTTTGGTAGTTCTTCAGTACTTGTCGGTGTTTTACCTTAGTTTTGGTAGTTCTTCAATACTTGTCGGTGTGTTTCCTTAAATTTTGTAGTTCTTCAGTACTTGTCGGTGCGTTTTTCCTTGGATTTGGAAGTTCTTCAGTACTTGTCGGCGTGTTTTACCTTAGATTTGGTAGTTCTTCAGTACTTGTCGGTGTTTTACCTTAGTTTTGGTAGTTCTTCAGTACTTGTCGGTGTTTTACCTTAGTTTTGGTAGTTCTTCAGTACTTGTCGGTGTTTTACCTTAGATTTGGTAGTTCTTCAGTACTTGTCGGTGTTTTACCTTAGTTTTGGTAGTTCTTCAGTACTTGTCGGTGTTTTACCTTAGACTTGTCGGTGTGTTTTTCCTTAGATTTGGTAGTTCTTCAGTACTTGTCGGTGTGTTTTCCCTTAGTTTTGGTAGCTCTTCTGTACTTGTCGGTGTTCTTCCTTAGATTTGGTAGCTCTTCAGAACTTGTCGGTGTTTTACCTTAGATTTGGTAGTTCTTCAGTACTTGTCGGTGTTTTACCTTAGTTTTGGTAGTTCTTCAGTACTTGTCGGTGTTTTACCTTAGTTTTGGTAGTTCTTCAATACTTGTCGGTGTGTTTCCTTAAATTTTGTAATTCTTCAGTACTTGTCGGTGCGTTTTTCCTTAGATTTGGTAGTTCTTCAGTACTTGTCGGTGTGTTTCCTTAAATTTTGTAGTTCTTCAATACTTGTCGGTGTGTTTTCCTTAGATTTGGTAATTCTTCAGTACTTGTCTTTGTGTTTTTCTCTCGATGACTGATATTACGTCTCTTTGATTGTTCTGTCTTTATCATTTGTAACAGTTCCTTTTGTGTTTATTTGTGTTTTGGTGTCTCTCAATTCAGTGGGTTCTTTCCCTTTTTTTTGATATAATGTAACTTCAATTGACACATCGATGAATTTACATTTTGATTTATATATATGTTGTCTCCCCACTTCCTGTTGCTGTGTGTGTTTTGCTTTGGGTAATGTCACCGCTTTTTCGATTTGCCTTGTTAAATTCTTTCACCCAACTTCATTGTAAAACGAAGCGACAAAGCCATCGGCTAGCCGAAAAGAACAGAGAAAAAACATTCCAAAAGGAAAAAGAATCTCTATTACAACTGGCAAAGCAAACGTGGAATTGTGTTTTGTTTTCTTTTCCGAAAGTTCAATAGTCAAACAACAGTACTGCATATTTATACAATGACAAATGTGAAAACACCACACCCAAACAGTATCAGAATGAACATGTATTTAAACGCAATACATTGCATCATTGTAGTCTATTGGTTTTTTTCTTATATTTTTATAACCTGCTTTAATGGTGCCAATATTCTCTTCCATTATAAATGCAATTTACAATATTCGTGAAATGAGATAAAAACATCGTCTTATCATTTAAGTAAGACATGAATTTACATGTCCGATCTCCAATGACACCGAATAGCCTGTTTTGTCTGTGTCACTGCTATGGATGCAACATCCTGTGATTTTGTAAAATGTTATCAAACATCAATAAGGTAGTTGGATTAGAAGGTTATTATTAAAAGTTTATGACCTGTATTAGCTTGTGTTTATTTTGTACACACGTGTTTAAGTTCTCACAACATCAGCTAGATTATCATTTCATTCATTTTAAATCTATGCTGGATATCTTAGTTTTATCGCCATGCTTGCTCTTGTGAAAGCCTTTTGGGTTTACACATACTGTATTTAGAACAATATGTATTAATGCCATATTACTATTTCATGTATACTGCAAAATTGATCTTGACTTGAATTGTAGCAGTGTATGTTGAGTCTACATAAGGATATATATATTGGTAGTTCTGTGTACTCTAAAAACCGTGCTATCAGCAACACTAGACACAACATCAGTTAGCGGGGTACGTCGCCCGGTTCTACCAATGTCAAGTTATATAAGGACAGGGTGACTAAGAATGATAAGAATGGCCGAAATAACATGGCTGTACATACATCTCTCGGGTCACACAGAGTTATACTCAGCGCATGCGCATCACTTAATTTCTGGTATTTTTGCATTAACACTCTAATTTCGAAATATTAGTATAAAAAAATCGACATTATTTGGTCTCCAGTAGAGAATATTACATATTAAGTGATTTTGTTTCGCTTCTAACTTGACTGAAAAATATAACGATATGAAGTTGAGTACCATCATTAACGGGCATAGTGATGGCTCCACGCAGGACACAGTTTGGGGCAAAGTGAGATTGATAAGTAAACGATCTTATGTCTCAATGGAATTGTGTATCAAACAGGCTTACCTAACTTTTATACGGCCAAACAATGTCAATATTATAATGTCTGTAATCTTGTGAAATAAATGGATATATTGTAACTTCTATCTTTCCTTGTCATGGGTAGTTGTAGCATTTCTATATTCACATTTGACCTTTACGTTAAGAAATACTACAAAGATAATTCTGGTTTTGACAATAAACACAAAGGAAGGCTATTATCGACTTGGGGGTGTATTGTTAATGATAATCTGTTCAGGGGAGCTTAAAGTTTCCAAGAAGAATGGTGACCTCATGATAACTTTCTTTTTCAACAATAATCCACACAGGGAATTAATAGATAGCTACTAGTTTATTAGAGCAAGGTGAATTTACCTACTGTTTCGCCTGTGTGATTTACAAAGTGGATAAACAAATTTCGCAATAATAATAAATGAAGTACATTTCTTTTGATAGTTAGCTGGCAAGTATGTTAAGCCGGGCTCATTTATAGGTACACGGAACATTCTTTGAACAAATAACTATTAAAAAGACAAGACGAAAATGCCTAATTAGAAACAAATTCAGCTTTTGTCAGCTTCATGTTTTCGATTCGAAGTTTTTTTTTTTTTTTTTTTACAGAAAAACGATATAGTTATGATGATTGTAATTCAAAATGTGAATAAGGTTATGAAGCAAGGTATGTGTAATAGGACTGTACTTGTAGAACTCTGTATCAGTAGGGTCACGTATTGATATCACGATTGTTGTCTTCCGTCACAAAACCACAAAACCACAACTACGTTTTACAGTTTCGGAGGTGTCCACTATGTAAACACAAATGTACCCAATGACCCTGATTTATAAACATTGATCCTGTTGGTGTATTTGTGTTTTGATGTTCTGTTCTAAGGTCATTCGTTTGAAGAGTAGATACCTTAAAATGGATACTGTTAACGCTACGTTGTTAGAGCGGGAATGGGTTTGTGGGAATGAGTTTGTGGGAATGGGTTTGTGGAAATGGGACTG